CAATTTTTCAAAGAAAACTTATCAATCATCAGATGTCTTCTGTTTTAAAAAAAATTGTCTTTTTTCTGTTCAGTCAAAAAAAAATTCTTTTTAATTTTGTTTTTTTTCTCTTTCTCGGCAACTTTTTTTCACATTTTATAATCTCTTCTTTTTACGGCTTCTTCTAATACAGCAACAGATTTGCTCAGTTAACAAAACTAATTTTCTTAAGTAAATTTTTAAGCAAAAATTGTGCAGCAAAAAAATTAGGGTATTTGATAAAGTAAGAAAAAAAAAAATTTTTTTTTGCAGATATGCATCATTATTGGAAAAAGTTAGTGATTATTCCGACTTGAGTGAAAATGTTAGCCGGCTAAAACCGCTTATTCAAGACTTGGATTTGGTCAAAGAACAGGTAATCAATCAACTGGATAGCTGTATTATAGCTCTAGCAGAAACTGTTGTACTCAAGCTTCCTGCTTCATTTTAGTGTTTCTTTCTTTTTTTCGAACAGTTATTTTATCCACAATGCAGCAAAACTTCGTCTGATAAAAAGACTAAGATAAATTCATGTTAGGCAAAAAGAAATGAAAAAAAACTAAACGAATTAATACTAATAACTGAAATAATTTAGAAAGTTTCAAGCGGCAATCAGCTAATAATACTTGGCTTAAAATGTATCTTTTCTGTTCTAACGGAATTGAATGAACGAGATCCAGAATTATGCTCGCAGGCTCTATCGTCACTGCTGCATCTGTTACAGCATATGCCAATTGATGCTCTAACTTCAGAAACCTATAAATCTATTAAGAATATGTATGATATGTTAAAGCAGCTACGACTACAAGGTTAATTGGCATTATAGTCATCAGACAAATGCTTTTAACTAATGAACATTCTGGCCTAATTATACTATTCAGTCATAAAAAAAACAAAAGAAAAAAAACTACAGTGAAAACAGCAGCTTTTTCTCTTTTATTTTTTTTGCTTGATTGACTTTTCTGCCTGACGGTTACGGTTTCTAGGAACGGCAGAAGTCTCGTCGATGGCAACATCCTGTATGATCGGTATAGCAGTAGCATTTGGTATTCCAGAATTCTTACTTGGTACAGCAGCTTCATTGTTCTGTGATCAAATAGAACGTGATAAGAATTCAAGTGCTGCAGTGATGATAACAATTCCAAGTAATCATTATAAACTGGCAAATTTTGCTCAAAAAATTGTCATGAATGGATCAGCTGAGAATTGGAAGTTAGTTTTTTGCTCTTTCTGTTCTGTCTTTCTGTTCTTTTTTCTTTTAAACTTAGTTATTTGTATTTTTGTAACATCTGTACAGATATGTTTTGCAAAATAAAAATAATGGCAAAATCTTTTTGTTTTTTTTTTCTATTTAAATTTTTTATAATGCATTTAGAAAAGATTTTAACTTTTTCACAGGACAGAGTTTAACTTTTCAGTTCATATAATTTTAGAAGGAGCGAGAAAAAAAGAAATTAATTTTTTTTTAATGATATAAATTTGCTGATAAGATGAAGAAAAAAGTTTCTTTGAATTTCAAGATTTTATAAATTGATTGTTCACAAAAGAAATTATATATGTATATTTTTTTCCCAATTACAGTAACAGCGATTGGTGGTCATATCCGTTGACGGAACACGTCGTTCTTTCATCCTTTAATATTAGTGTACTCAACGATAGTTCACCACAGAATGTTGATGACCGTCGACTGATTAGTGCAATAGCTTCTGATGGTAATGTTTTCAAAATTTTTACAAAAGTTCAACACTTTTTTTCATTTCTCGTTTGATAATTTCATATCAAAAAAAAAACCTTTACTATTATTATTATTATTTTTTTCTTTGAAAGGAAAGGTTTTAAGATATTTGATTTTTTTAAGGTCCATATGTTTACATTTTATGCTGCTACGGTTTGTTTAAATATGGTACGGGTTTAGCAGAAACAATTTCCGGTAAATTATATTGTTCGAATACAACACTAAAATCAAGGTATTATTCGGAAAATCAAATTTTTTAAAAAATAATTTCGTTGTTGAAAGAAAAACTACTTGAAAAGGAACTGTTTTTTTTTTTAAATTTTTTTAATGTTTTTAGAATAGGTTGTATGTCTTAGAGTAAAATAATCGCAAATTAATTAAGTTAATTACTGTTTGATAACCATTCTGTTAATATCAGCAAAGGGTCGTGGTTGGCAATGTGTAACGGATCTCTGTACTTACGTCGGCGTCAGTCTTCAAGAATATGGGTAATTGATACAGATACACTTCGTGAAATTGGCGAGATTATGCTTCATACATCAGCTGTCACTGGTAAACCGAGAAATTTGCAGTATAGCTTTTAAAATGTCACATTTATTTGAAAGTTTATTTTTATCTTGCAGGAAATAAAATTTTTACAACAAATTTAATAGTTTAAAAATAATCAGTGAAATGACAGTGAGTACTTTTATAGGAGCCTTAATGACTGATGGATGTTCGTTTTATCAAGCCATTATTGATGAACATTGGCAGCTAAATGTGAGGAAGAATTTTACAAATTTGTCGTTTACTGTTTTAAAAAAACAACACTGATTTTTAAAGTAAAGAAACGGAGAACGGACACTGATATTTCATATTTGAAGCTTTACTTTCAAATGTCTAGGTAAATCCTCTTGATGATAACTTCACTCCGGTGGCAAATGCAAAGCAAAGCCCAAAATATCGGTTAGCGACACATGATTTTTCGTCTTTTGGTGATTCGTTACCAATTCCTCACGGGTTGCCTCGATCTTTGCCAAAATCTTTGCATGGTAATTCTTTGACTTTGAACTTAGTAAGATTTAAATTAATGTTTTGTAAGTGCTTTATGATGGCAGATTTCCTGCGGTATTGTAGAGACTTAGTCATTTATCTCTCCTGTTTTGCTACTGTTTTTGCTTTCTGTGGAATAAAAGGCAGGTCAGAAAGATTAAAGGATTTAGTGTCACGGACAAAGTGCAAAGGTTTAGGTACCGGAAAGTAGAAGGTTACTCGGTTATTTTTCATCTAACTTTTATGCATGATTAAAACAAACAACTAGTTTTGTTGTTTTTAGTTTCTGTTAGACTAAATTCGAAGTCTTTTACTGCATTGTTACTCACACATCTTTAACGCCATTTTGCTTTTCAATCAGTGCATATTTCAAAAGAAATTTTTACAAAGTTGGAAACTGTTTGAGAGAATAATAACAAAAAGGAACTGATTGAAAAAGTTTTATGTTACATTGTCTTGGCAAAACTGAACCGATCATGAATGGAAACCGTTTTTTTTTTTGTTAGTTAATGTGGCGAAACTAATAATTCCAACAACTTTTTGTCTTGATTTTCTGTTTTTTTTTGTTGAAGAAAAACAGATATTTTTTGAAGATGCAGAATGCTTTTTTTGCGAAGAAAAAGAAAGCTGAAATTTTTTTTTTCCGAACACTTTATCAGTGCTGCATTTATTTTTGTTCCATTTTCTTTCCCACTGAGTTATGCAGAAAGTTTGCTAAAGAAGTTATGGGCATAAAAACACATCTCTCTCTATGAAACTTTTTCAACAAGTCTAAAAGGCATTTATGAGTGCTGGAACTCACAGCTGTTTACAGTAAACATTGAATACTGCCGAAAGAAAAGTAGGAAAAAAAGTTAAAGCTTCAGGCAGTTATAGCATTACACTGGCACTATAAAGCTGAAATTTTAGTGCAGATTTGCTTATCATTAAAGGACTAAGATGAGGTCAAATAAATATTTCCAGTTTATAATTTCATGCGAAGAAGTTCCCAACAAAAAATTATTTTGAAATTTATAAATCTTGACATATGTTTCTTTTTAGTTCAAGCTTCAAATTTACAAATTGGTAAAGAGACAGCTTTTTTACTTGCAAGAACAGGAAAAGTTTACTATGCTGGAAGAGCAAAACGATATGGATTACAGGTAAAAAGTATAGCTGTTTAACATATAAAATTTTTGTTACAGATTACCTGTTATGAGTTGAAGCTCATAGTGACTTTACATTTTGCGTAAAATAATGAGCTGAATGAATATTTCTAAGCAGTATCACAAGAATCACTACTATTTGCAGGATACAAATGGAGTATGGATGGAACTTGTGCTTCCGGAATCAATTGTTTCCGTTTTAGTAGCAAGCGACAGTGATACAGTGCTGCTCCGATCTGGTTCTGGACAAATATGGATACTGGGTCAAGAACCTCAGTTGTTAAGCCAAGGAAGTCCAGTGATTGGAAGGCATTTTAAAGAGGATAATGTGAACGGGAAAGGGAAACTGCGAAAACTTCACTTAGCTAGCAGGTAATGCAGGGGATTTTCAAATTAAGCCCAGTTACCACCGTTAAGAAAAAGGAATCTGTCTTAATTTTTTCTTACTTTCTTTTTTAATTTACGTTTCTGGCGACTGGATTACTTATTCTTTTGCCACCAGATTGCTGCCACTCGGGTCTTTTAACGTAAGAGTAATGCAGTTTTTCTCCCGTCGTAGCGTAAGATGTCTTGTATTCACCTCAAACTTGGATAATTAAACCTTTTATTCAATATACAAGAACAATATAAAAAACGCCAAACCTTGGCAAATAAAAAACCACTAACAAAAGTAACATAAGACATGAAAAGATCACTGCTTCCATTCCTCCGGCTGTCTTGTGTAGACCCTCTTATATAGTCTACTCCAGCGGGTTATCGTTTCTAGCTTTATCTTCTTCCCCGCTGGAGTGAACGTTGACGTCTTTGGAGCCAGCTTCTTCTTTTTTTCTGAATCTTCTTGATAGTCTTCATCGGTTGTTCCCTGTGCGTCCGGGAGTATTTCATTTTTACCTTTTGGCGACACTCCCCTCTGCATGGTTGTTCAATGCCGCCCGTAATTCTTTCAGGTGCAAGTCTAGGTAGCTTAGGAACACTCGGAGCACCTGGTACTCCTTACACAGTAACGTCTGCCGAGTTTTCCCTTTTGCTAAAGGGGTGATGGCCAGCCCCTCATCGTAGATGGCAATCATCTGGCGGAAGGAGCGTATAAGGCTGGTTGCACTTCAGCCTGCATTCTCTTGGCCTTGTAAGCGAGCAGCTTTTTCTCCATCTAGTGACGCAATTCTTGAGC